ACGGTGCGCCAGTCTAGGTCATGTGATCACCGACTTGCACCTCCTCTCCTTCTCGGATTCCTTTTCTGCAACTGATTTACAAAGCCAAATTTTGGATAGCAATCCCGAACTGACATGCCGTAATTAACAAGCAAGAAATTATTGACGCATATCGTGGTGATGGTTGTTGTTGTTGTTAGGTATGTGGGTTTATTATTTTATCTTTCAATGTGAAATATCCGGAACAATGGTAGCTCCTTCTTCATCTGAGGTGAGGTTTCCGCTGGCGATGCTGGTATTCTAGGACTGATGCATACAGGAATCACAAGATCTCGAGAAAAGGGGATTGAGAGTATAGCTGCCCCGCTGCTGAATGCGAGAGTGTGTGTGTGTGTGTGTGTGTGTGTGTGTGTGTGTGCTGGAATTGTGCACCGTCCATAAGAAATCCTGGGACGGCTTAGCCAGTGTGGACCATGCTGCTCATGTTACACGCTTCCACCATGACTTACGCTGCCCTGCTACATGCCTGGCCTGGAGTCATTCCGAGAGTTAGCTGTTCAAGTTCCAAACAATTACACACAACATTTTCTGTAGAAAATGTGTAGCCAGAAGTTGGTGCGCTCAGAAAAGCTCCTGACTGATTGAGCATGTTCCTGGGACACTTGTGAGGATATTGCGAGTCTTGTTCGGCAGGGCGGCACAGCAGGCTCCGGATGCTGAGCTGACAATTGAGATTCTTACACTACAAGGTTAGGTCTGCGGAATCAATCGATCTCCGGACAATACCATGCATCCAGGGTTTTAGTCACCTGATAAAAGTCAATTTCCGTTGACTTCCATTCTCTGCACTGGATTCTGAGTCCAAAATTCAGATTGATGCAATGATAAGATTAGTCCCCTACAAGTAAGAAGAGTCTCGAATTATTTCCAGGTTTTTGTGTTCTTATTTGCACCGGACCTTGTGCCCTCATCTACATACGAAGGAACCGATCATTCAGGCCGAGGGGGCAGAGCACAACCTTGGATGTGCATAATCCCGCTTAGCTACAGGATTCGTTGAATTGGGATCGAAACTCGGTTGAAAACTGATGGCTTCTGTCGTCGAATGATTCCACGTGGACACGTTCCCGATAAAATCGTCTGCGAATGACTTAGTACGCTTGTTTCGTATGTCTACCCGGCTCTTAAACCGTCAAGCCTGAATTTCAAACATATCATCCCACGTTGGAAACTACGAACAGAATGTCCCACAAATGAATATCTGTACCATATTCAGAATGTTCTTGAGAAAGTTCACAATTCACATGCGATCATATTCTCTTCTGCAAATTTCAAATTCACTCATACAGCTGCGCGAGTAAAATGAAAATGTCTACGACATGACTTCTTGTGGCGAGTGCTCCCGATGTCACCTTCAGATGGTGGAGAGTCAGAAAATTTAGAAATATGGCATATTGATTCTCAGCAACTCATGATTGACTTTTCAGAAACAAATGCACTGCGGGCTGATTACGCCGATTATGATGCGGACTGGGCTGTGCTGGCATATCGATCTGCAACCATCTTAGTCATCGTGGGGGAATAAGCCAGTGTACATGCCTACGTACTACATACCGAGAGAATGAGGCAGTTGTCATGTTCATCGTGCAGATTTGGATGTGCCAACTCGACTCCACTTTGTAAATGCAGTGTCACACTTGCAAGCACAGCGGTCCTGCATCGAAGAGCCGGACGAGAAGCAACTTCTGGGTCACAGAGTGTGGTGGTGGAGGCTGTTCAGTAACCGTGAATGGGAGACATTCAAGACACCTTTGTCTGATATCCGAGGACAAAGTTGTGCATGAGCTGCTGGAAGTTTTGCATCATGTTGTTCCCACGGAAGCACCATCTTCAGGACCCTATCTACAAGCGTTTCAAGTTCTTGTAGCTGGTCCCAGAGGCTATCGATGTAAGCGATTTGTATGCCAGGTGCAGGAGCTCGATGAACGAGTCACAATCCCGAACTTCTCTGTACTATGAGCAACTTTCAAGAATTTCTTCGCTTTGAGCAAGCTCCTGTGGACAGAGGCAAGCATGGACGACTTGCCTCTGCCATTTGAGATATCAGTGGATCAACAAGGGTGCACTCGCACTGGCGCTCAAGTCAACAGTCCTGCTTCGGCTGATCTCGGTCATGCATGTAACTGAAGGCAGGTTATGGGAGGAGACTGAGGTCGGATTTCGAGCCAGAGCGTCTGGTCTTGACATAACGACGAGGAGAGCTAGTTCCCGTCTGCAGAATCTAGTACGCAGGGTTCAGGACTGGCAGCGAGCCGTGATCCACGACTCGTTCGAGCTTTCGAATTCTTCATCGGTGAATGGCTGACGCAAGCAAGGCTACAAAGAAAGGGTGCACGGTCGTCACCCATGGTGTCGACGGTGAGGCTCGAGCTCGAGCACGAGCAAGAGCGGTCGGATGATAGCTTCCTCATGGGTCGCTATCTGTCAGAGGATCACGTCGAGGGCTTGCTGGTGAACTTCCAAGCGCCACGATGCTGTCTACCTGGTGCAGGGCTTCTGCAGCAGAAGAGGTGCCCCTCATTTTCTCGACCCAGGCCAAGGCAGAGACCCGGACAAAGCTCGAAGCTGCTGGCCTTTGGCCCGAGGACAGGAGGGTCTGGACGCAGAGCCTTCGGGATGAGTGACTGGGAATGTGGGCCGCAAGGGCATGATGATCAACACTTGCACCGATTCTTTCAACAACGGTGGTTTTCCAGGGAGATTCCTCTATGGCTTTTGAGGCAGCCACGGCTTGCATGGGAGTTTTTGGAGAGGGTGCCCTCTCAGGGTACCCGGGGAATCTGCTCGTGAAAAGCAGCACGCGAGCGAGCTACAATGCTCACGGAATAAACGAGCGCAAGTGTTTGCTTGCAAGCCCTGTGGAGCCCACATTCAGGATTCGGTAGTCGTCCACTACTGTGGCCGGCATGGCGCTGCTCGGTTCGGTGTTCTTGGAGACGCTTTTCCAGAACTGTGGTATGTGAAGCACCTGATGATAATAATTGATTCATATGTTATTCTGAAACAAGAAGATTCTCACTGATTCTCGTTGATTCTGGGACTGACATTGATTCTCTTGGCCTCGAACGATTCCTCGCTCTGCATTTGTCCAACTTCCCACGATTCTGGATTCCCCATTCCTCCGCGCGTGGGCCTTGCGAAGCTCCATGTGAAAACTGTCGTGAGAGGTCTCACATGGAGTTTGCAGCGTTTGGATCCTGGAGGCGATATAGCGGTCCACGTGAAATATATTTCATTCTTATCCTCGAGTCGATTCATAACTATTCTATGTTTCCGGCATCCGTCCTTCTGGCACCGTTCGACATTGGCAGCAGTCTGCCCTTCATACTTTTAGCGGTTTCCAAAAGCTTGCTGGTCTGTTAAATAATTGCACTAAGTGCTACCAAGTGAAAATTCTTAGCTTCCTGATCCATCAAACTACCACAGAGGTTGCTTGCTAGCTTGCTTGTGGTTGTCTGGTGCCGAGCAAGCAAGTTGCGTGATTTTCGTACCTCACTGCGAGGCTGAGAGATTCTTATGAAATTGGATGCTTTGAGTTCTTGGTGAGCTAGTGAGTTACAGTCGAGAAGTATATTAATACTGTTTCACGAGCAAAGTACCGAGTGTCAACGTTGCAGAGCATGTCTTTCGCACTGCTTGAAGCCCCGAGAACGATTGAAAGAGAGCTCTTGATGAGCGAGTGAAGCCTTGGGCACACCATACCATGCAGGAGGATATGCAGGTCGATAACTGACGTGATCCTCATTGGCGGTGAAGACATATTTAGTGTTCTTCGAGCAGACGATCAGTCCTGATTCGCTTGAGGCCAGAGTGGATGGTCTGCATACATCAGGTCCAAGAAAAAGATTGCAGAACGCCATCCAAACATGTACTCCTGTCTGTCACTTGCCACTGCAATGGAACCAGTACATTGAGCAGAATGTATCCAGAAGCAGCTACGCTCATGACCTAAGAGAGACATCACAGTCCCATAGGCTGCCGAGTTTTAACGCCAGATCAAGAACCGTATTGAGCACATCAACCGCTGTTGCAGTTGCAGTTGCAGCTCTGCCATGGTCATGATTCTTCTGCTGAAGACTGATGCTGATGCTGATTCTGATTCTGCCAAATCATGATAGATATGCCGAAGATCTTTTCATGTGTGCTCCAGATATTTATCATAGAAAACTTCAACATTAGACCGAAGGCAAATGAGACCTCAATCACCAAGTCTGATTCCATTTCAGCTTTCTATACGGGAATCAAATCCTGTTTACAAGACGTGTTATCTCTCGGGCACTGGCACCAGAAAGAATCAAGGAGTGCTGCCATGGGTATGTGAAACGTGGGAACACTCCGTCCAGAACCCAAGTTCAAGCGGGTGGTGAATTAATCCAGTGTCGTTCTATAAATTAAACTCGAAAACCTGATGGCCCCTAAACATTCCAGATTCCCAGTCCTCTGGGCAGAGAGTTGTAGATGAGCAACTCGTAGATGAGCACTGCACTGCACTGCCGAGCATATTGATATGCCATGTGCAAATTCGAATGAACCTCTGCTCGGTTACACAAACACGCATGTTGTACATACTTTCCCATTGTGATGCTATTAATTTGATTTGATCCCCGTACGACTTGACGGGGTGTTCCCTTTTTCTTCCACATATTACTCGGTTTCTCTGTTGGAGGCGACATGATGCCATTTGGACAAGTGAGACTGGCCACTGCCTTGTTTTAGGAGTATCGTCGGGAGGGATTCGAAGCTCGGACGAGAACCGAGTTGTAATACAGGCCTGGCCAGGCCACGTTTGCCATTGGCATAAGTCGAATCATCGGTTGAGAGGCTGGAATCAGCAGCAGGGGCGACAGCACTGCCAATGGGGTGAGCATGGAAGCAACCTCACATCCTTGACTCTTCATCACCTTCCGCGAAGCTGCACACACGAAGGCCCCGAATCCCAGATGCAGTGGAATGTGTTTATGCCCATTCACTCGCCGTTTTATTGTTTTTCGGCATGTCAGAGAAGAGGATTCGAAACACTTCAATCAACTGAAATTCACACGAAAACGTGTTGACACAACTTTGGGTGACGTCAAGAAATGATGAAGTTGAATGTGTCGAGGTGATCGGTTTTATCATGCCCTCTCTCCCTCATCTCCCTCTCTCCCTCTCTCCCTCATCTTTACTACCTTCTAAACCATCGTCCTGCTAATTTCATCATGCACGAGAACCCCTGCCTCACAATTCAACAGTGATACGTGAATGCGAAGGTCAACATGCGAAGGTTACAATCGCACAATTAACCGGAAGTTTAGAGTTCAAGGAATCATGATGGACGGGATGGAGTGGACGAGGGAAGTACATTCTCAGTCTTAATCATTTTAATTCCCCCCTTCAAATGAAGATCGAGGACTAATGTTCGGATGGCTAAACTCGCTTAAAACCGCAAACACTGATCGGATTGGGAACTTGAGGGAATCTATGGCGTTGGTTCTGCATAACTTGCCGAGCTGGACTTTCTCATCCGGGGCAACGGCAGTCAATAACTACGTTCCATGGTCGCCACATTGCGTATCGTATGCGCCTGCCTACTGCGCCATGAATCATTCCGAGCGACCCCTGAGAGAGGCGATGAATTTGTTGGTCTCCTCTGCCACTCACTCATCTAGGATACTTCATGATTTCCTGGCTTGATTCTCATACCCAGATACTCGATGTATCCAATAAAGCTCGGGGATCCCCATGGCTAGCACACCAGACAGGGTCACATAGATATCCTCGTACAACGCAATGAACATTGGGTTCTCGGTGTCTCCAAGGTAGCCAAGCCTGCAAGAACGGAAATGATCATTCTCTAGCTCAAGCCTTTATGAGCATTGCATGACTAGGCATGATTGATACTTATGGTGCGTTCAGTTCCACACTTCACACGGAGACTCACACTAGTCACTGCCCACAGCTTCCAGATTCAGCAGTGCTACATACCTCAACAGAGCCTTGGCTATTGTAGCAGAATGGACCAGGGAATTTTCATGGGAATATAATACTCAAAGAGAAGTTTCACGTTCCGAGGAAGACCTGTGGCAGAGATCTCGCTCCGTCCGATTTAGAACTATTCCCAGAGGAAGGAAGGCACACGAAGAAGAAGAAGATGACGATGATGATAATGATGCTGATTCAGGCGATAGATGCAAAGATGGATTGAAGCTCAACTCGTTGCTGCTGGTCGGTCTGAAGGTGTGTGTGGTTGAGGTACACACCATAAAGTCGAGGTTGAAGTTCGTTACAGAATAGGATTTAGCAGGTCAGAGACTCAGAGCAGGTCATTCGAGTGCAATAGCACATCAACAACAACCACCCACGACTTCACATTGCGCAAAAGCAGCTGCGAGCATGGTAGACTGCCAGCCAGCTGAACACGTACTTTAGTATGCGTAGATCCAAAGTACACACACCCCCCCAACCCAACCCAACCCAAGCCCGGCAAGATTGAGTATCATTGAGCAGGTAGCCAAATAAACGTCACACCATGTTCCCAGACCATCGACGGTACGCAACTGCACTGCACAGCACTGCAACTGCATCTGCATCGGTGGACTGCTGCTCGAGCAGTCCATGTCATGAGAAGGAACGAAACTGGTGTAAGACGCAGGAGCTCAAGGGAAGGGAAAGGGAAAGGAGAAAAGCAAATGTACTGCACTTAATGTGAAATCGAAGTACAGCCCCAAGAGAATAACATCTTTGGCGAGTGAGGAGGGAGGGAGGCACATTAACACGAGTACGAGACGATAGTATATTGTAAGGACCGACCGGAGTCACTGGAAGTGAAGTGTAGAGTGTAGAGTGTATGTTGTTAACCGTAAAGCTGAAAGTAACGCCCATGCGATGCGATGGGATGCCATGCCCTGCCAATGAGGCGTGGAGGGAATTGAATGAACGAGCTCAGCAGTTCATTCGAGTCCCAGCCTACGGGGCATGGTGAATAGCAATGGATGGAGATGCGCCATGAAACCAAGGCGAGGGAGGACGAGGACGAGGGCTTTATCGAGAAGGTCGTGGGGGCATTTAAAGGCGGGCCTTGAAGGCCGAGTTATTATTGGATGCATGTCGAGTGACCTTTAAAAGATTTGGCAGCTGCGTGGACCCACGGGATATTACCTACTTAATGCGACGTTAATGCATGCTTTCACGGACCCTTCCTTCTTAAATTCGCCTTTCCCGAGCTCCAAGGCCTCTTCATTTCGGATGAGACATGGAATCAATGAAATTATGCCAGTCACTTACTGAGCTCAGTCCCCACACAAAACTCCAAACATCGTGATAAATGAATGGGTGAGCGGAAAGCTACAAAGGCTTATTCAATTGAATCCGAGCAAGCCGCACCTTCGCTTCATCACCCCCTCCGCCATCATGATGAATGAACGAGCTTCGTTCGTACATCCCTCCCCTTCGCTTCACCACAGGACTCAGGTTCCCTTAAACCCTTGGTGCTTAAATCCATCCATCCTCCCTCCCTCCACTCATCCATCCTCTGGACAATCCTCCAAGAGACGATCAAATGACATTCTGATCGATGGTCCAACTTCCTCAACCAGTTTGCTGCCCCAGATCTTATACGCTCTTCATACATTTGCATTTCCCTGGGAGACTGTGCAACTGGATGGATGGATGAATGAATGTTAGCTCCATCACCGTAACGCCTCAGATTATCTATCGAGTGAACCTGCACGGGACTGGAGGGAAGGAGGGAGGGAGGGGCCGGGTCTCTAAAGCCTAGTCTAGCTCTTTCTCCCCCCACTCCCAATCGCAGGATAGGATCGCATAGGAGACAATGGGATGCAGTGCATTGCATTGCACTCCATGGCATCGAGCGAAATACATTGTATCATTATAGTTGCGACTCTCTCTCTTTCTCTTTCTCTCTCCAAGTGGACGATGTAGGTGGGAGCGAAATGGAAGTTGTAGTTTCCATGCAGTGGGTTGCAGAGATCATGGGGAGATCGTGGTATGGGAAATCCGTGGCTCATGAGTGAGATTTCATTCCACGGCGTAACTCCGGTCTAGGGGCGGGGCTAGGGGAGCGGTTTGCGCTTCTGCATTAAACGCAATGCTTGCGTTGTACAGCGAAGAGATAGAGATCAACATCCTGTTCCAAGGCAGCGAAGGGATTTCTGAGTCCGATTCATATCCGAGCAAACCACGGAATGGCTTTGAAAGCGATAAATGATGCTTTTATTGCCGGAGATTGCTCGAAGCGAAAGAAAGATCTCTCAGATAAAACTCATTTCTTTCGAATTCGTCACGGCAAATAATCATATTCAACTGCCAAAAATGTAAAAAAATACATTTGAATGGACGGCGATATTTGTACAGGAATCTTGTGCCAAGTTGAAAAGCCCCGAGAGAAGTTACTGCTTTATTGCTAGCAGGTCCTCGAGAGAGCCGAATTCCCCTCAGTACAATTCTTGCTTCAAATTCAAGACATGAGTAAATGCCCGTATGATAAGACGGAGTGAGTATAAATAAGAAAGGGAAAGTAGCCCCAATACCAAGCGAACCTGGCTCTTACCATCAACGCCCTGATGAAGTATGAAGTAATGAACCTCGGGCTTAGTTCTCGAACCCCAGGTTGACTTCCATTAAATATTCAACTTGCTCTTCCACCTCATGAACCGCCCCACCATTCCGGGCTACTGTGGACCTTGCTTGTGCCTCTCACCTGGACTTCCCGTGAATCTAGAAAATCAGCGAGGGACCCCCTTTTGTGTAACACTCCTCTACCCACAAAGACAGGTTCATGATTATGGAGATGACGGGTTGGAATTGGATGGCAGGAGAGGTGGGGGCAACTGAGTCAGCTGAGGACTACGCAATTTGGTCACGTCTGCAGAGGAAGCCCGATAGGAGGGGAAGAAAATGAACATGAACATGAACGAGCTCGAGAAGATACAATCTTGCATGGGCTTATGATGTCGATCGTTCAGGGTACGGTGTACCGAGCTACTCGAGCTTTCGTGTATGCCACAGGAGCTGAGATTAAGGTCTTGCTTGTGCTGTCACGTTTCGTAGCTAGAGTACTCCGAGATGGACGGGGTTGACGATTGTCTCAGCCGCAAGTTAAAGCAGTGGATCGGATGGTAGATTGTGCCAATATTTGACCTGCAAAGTGTTCATAAGTTGGTACTTAATTATTAAACAAGGCTGGCTCAGATTCGTACGAGGGCCTGGACTGGCTAGCACCGGGCCAGGCGCAGGCAGGAACCTGTCCTGTCCTGTCCTGACCAGTCACGTCACGAAACTGCTCAAAAAATGCGAAATGCAAGTGCTTTCAATTATCGGTCTTTACTTGCAGTTCATCATTGTACTGCAGCATTAAGCACCCGGCCAATCTAAGCACGTCGAACAGATTGTTGCCTAGCTTCGTAGCTAGACGAGTCGTAAGTACTACCGGTGTCGTGCATTGCATTGCATTCGCGTCTCCAGATACCGCCTGGGGATGGAAGATCCCTCGATAGAACTGAGATCCATTCATCCCCAATTCCATCGGATTCTGTACATGTATTTCTCACCCCGTTCGTTCTCCAGCGACCCACCAATCCATGGCAATACCTTCCCTTTCCTTTGCCTTGGCCTTCCAACACTCAGCACTCAGGAGCCATTGTCAGCATGTACTGTATTGCATCCATGCATTAAACGGGTTGACTTGGCAATTCTATCTCGTGCCAGACCTACAGTTCAGTCCGGTCTAATGACTCTAATCCGCCTCCTCCGGCCCCTCCTCCACCTCCACCTCCGTGAGTCCGTGTTCGTTTCGAGTGGAATGTAAGCCTTTCAACTCTGCTCATGGCACTCGATTGTACTTTGATCATGACCCCCTCTTCCCATGAATTCTCCTCCGAACAGCTAGAAATCCGGAAGAAGCAGCGAGCGCCAAGGCCTCCAGCACTTGTCCTCTAGCGCCATGACTTTTGGCCACCCTACGAGCCTTTGTAGCTCTTGTAGTGCACGTTGGGTTCTAGATGTCCACGCAATTGTACTTATTTTCCAAACCACCTGCCAAAACCAAAACCCATTCTCCTTTTGAGCTCCACGAGGTTACTTGCGTTGGGAAAACATCCATAAATTCTTAACCTATGAAAGCGTGCCTTCAGCGACTAAGAAAAACATCGAATGTCGCATTTCTGTTCTCAACTTACCGATTCACTTTGATCCCCTTCATGCTATTTATAATTTTTTTCGAATTAAACATCGGGAACCAAAGAATTACTTCCTCCTTGACTTCAATTCTCTTTCTTACTTCATATCTGAATTGTCCTTCTTCTCCATGTTTTGATTGCTCGTTGCAGGGGAAGGTATACTTCGCATGGGAATGAGCACTTGTAACTCATCCATCCATTACATTTCATATGGCCTTCATAATATTTGTGAACTGACTAACTCACCCACCCGATGACAACGTTTGGTGCGTTCGAAGCAAGTATATCAGTCACACATTCAAGGACAAAAGGTACCACAAGGGTGCTGCTTGAACCCAGAGTCCGGAGTCCAGACGAACTCAGACTTCACATCGGATGGATGGATGGATGAATGGATGATCCGAAATGGACTCCGGAAGTTCGTTGAGCAGTAGCGATGGCAACAGCCCAGAGAGTGTTGCAGGCAGGCGTGGGTTGGAACGACACCTGAAGAATGTACAGAGGTGAGGGAGACAGACGTACTCTGCTAGTCGCAGTTGATGATAACACACACGACTTTCATGGAATCGGCTCGCTCGTCCACACGTAGGACTGATCATACACACACAGACATGGTTTTGCTTGTGTCGTTCTTTGGGAAAAGCTTCGATCGCTTCGAAAAGCAAGATATTTGTCTGCACGTATACTGCACAGGCCAACAACAACATCAACAGGAAACACTTGGTCCACCTGCTCACGGCCTTCGCGTTCGTCGCAAGCACGAGAAAGACACCGAGAGCTGCTGAGTACACTCGAGCTCAAGAATCGATTGCTAGTACGAGGCCCTCGGATCAGAGCCCAGAACTAACAGGGCTAGCGGGTGATCCATACTATGGGAGACGGATTGTGAATCTCAGGGGTCGCGTGGATGAATGCATGTGCCCAAGCTACGGAAGGGCATTGAAGGAAGGTTTCTGAACATGAGAACGGAAAACCCATGCCACATCACATGTGGAAAGGATCCACTGTGAGTAAAAGAGTAGGTAGTGTAGTAAAATATCAATATTACTTGGTAGGTAAAATCACAGGGAAAAACATTTATCCTTCTGGTCAGACATCATGCGAAAAGGGGTGGACTATCGAATTATAGGTGTGGCCAGGCCGAGTGACAGAACCCAACGCCCTGCTCGAACCTGCCCTCGAATATTGAAGGCTTTTCACGAAGGGAGGGACGGTCACCCTCACTCTTGCCAAGGTTCGTTCTATGGCTAGACTCCCTTCTTGCTCGCGTCCAGACTCTCGAGCAGCCATAGATGAGTCCGCATCTCTATTCTAATTCCCATCCTTTCTGTTGTTGTAGTGTGTCTCCTCGCTCTAATTAACATTCCTCGGGTCTGCCTCTTCACTGTAACTAACTCAACCGAGAAATTTATTGACTCATATTTCACATAAATGTAGCCTTCATTTGGAAGGATCTGCCACATTCCGGTGACAGTATATTCATAAGATTCTTCGTGAGCACCTTCGTGATGTTCAAGGGGATGATCTCACGAAATTCCAAAAATCCATGATCGGTGGACTTCCCCAAATAGGCACGAACGAAGCATGACGAATGAGCTGCGTACTTGGTTAGTACCGAACGAACATTACTACTGCCAGCAACATCTCAGACTCGGAGGACGTTCAAAAGCTGCAAGCTATGGATGGAACCAACAACAACGCAATCTAATGCCGATGGGAATCGGTAAACGGATTTCTAACCTGAGGAGTCCATGTAGTGCATTCATCTCGACGATGGGAAGCATTCATCATTCCCGTTTTCTTTATGTCTTGTGCATGTGAAGGGACTGGAGTCCTGCGAAGGGAGAAGATTGATCATGGATGGATGGCGAGCGGTGTCGAGGATGTTGGAACCACGTACAGAGAAGCGAGAGCAAGCTCCCTTCGGAAGGCAGACGGGGTTGCCGTTGCCGTCGTGGCTGTGGGATGGTACTGGCAGAACACACGGATATGAGATTATAAAACAGCCACATAAAGCGAAAAAGGCGGACGGATGAGAGATTCTCGCATGAATGAAGGAGCGTGTAAGTCTTTTATGTCGGTTAGTGTGCATATGCACCTCCCTGACTGCAGCTGCGAAACCCACATGCCAGCCGTCATCGCATATCTAGTGTACTTTTTTATCTCCCACGTCTCGCTCTCTGCCTAGTCCCCAGTCCCCGCCACTTCTCTCCCTCCCTCCCCGGGGCCCTGTCGGGAAACTTCCTTCTTTGGCTGCCCAGACTCATTGCAATTTCCTCTCCCTCTCTCTCATAAATTGGAGCACCTGTACCTCTACTCCAACTTCATTCGCAACAAAACAGCGAGAGATCTCTATTGCACCCTGGCTTGCTGGCTGGCTGGCTGGCTCCCGAGTCTGGGCCTGGACTGGGCCCTGCTGTTCTAGCTCAACTGACAAATCCCCAGTATCTTCAGACCAAGCTCCTATATCCGAGAACTGTCTCAGACTCTGACCTCCTCCTCCCTCAGCTTTAAAGCTCAACACTCAACGACCGGTGGGTGACCTGGAAGCTCGTCGCATCTCGGATGCTCGGCACTGCAATGACAGCCGTGACGTGACTCTTCTCTCTTGAGTCTCGTCTCTCGCTCTCTTGTCTTCTCTTGCGAAAACACTCTTCTGTCTTCCATTCCAAACAGGCAAATCAGACTCTTGTCTTCTCCTATCGACGTCCGGTATTATGAAGCCCTTCGCACATAATCCCCATCGTCTCCGCTCTGCGGTCTAGAGCAAGGGAAGTCTCCATGAGCAGCTTCTGCGAACTGGTGGCTTCTCAGCCTGTTTTGGTAGTAGGGCCCAGGCCCCAGGTGGAATATACCAAGTACCGCAGCCAGTGGCAGAGGATCTAAGACAAGCGTTCAAAGCGGAGCGGGGAGTGCGCCATGGCTCACTGTCGATTTGCCCTGATGGCTAACAGATTATAGGTGATCGACCCAAATAAGCCGAACGCCAGCAGTAGTTGGGTTGCGGATTTGGCAGAAAGCAGATCGGTGAGTTTGGCCTTCGTCGTCTTGCTGGCATGAACGACCGAACGAGCCAACCGTTCAGACAATATCGGTTCAGGTGCTATGGAAGAATGTTTCACAGTATCGGCCATAAAGTTTCTGTCGAGCAGATTAAACTTAAATCTGGCCTGTTTCCGAGTAAGCCTCCGTCAGATATAAGTTGGCTAACTCTCGGCGATGCGCCTTTAGTTTAATTGTCACTCGTCACAAGGCATGGAACGCAGAAGGGAGACTAAATCTCGTATATTCCAGCCAGCCGTGCAAACGTATCGTCGTGAAAGATCGATTACGGGACCTGCCTTCGGTGGCTTCGCGCCTCTCGTCTTTCTACTCGAGCTGGAGCTGCGTTGAGCCTTGTGGTTGGGTCTAGAATCTAGACCCAACCACAAGGTCCCCTAGAGTATAGACTGGTACGAATTTGGAAAGCGCATGCCTACACAGCCTGCGTACAGTACAGCTCGATGGATGGGCTCTGTACTATACTGAGCAGTCGAGCATGATCGATCCTGCAAAAGCTCGACCGGTTCTAAATCACTCACTCACTCACTCTTATAGCAGCAGCAAGAGTGAGTGAGTGAGTGAGTGAGAGCTTTTGCATCCGCAGTTTGGCAGCATTCGCTTTGCGCCCAACAGGTACATCATGTCCTTCGCTACATGTACAAGTATGCGCTGGATGTACATTTCCAAACGAAAGAATCGTAGCGTTGCGTAGAGTCGAGTAGACCTGTAACTCTACGGAGAGATATTAGCGGTGATGGTAGTGGACTGCGTGCGGAAAGTCTGAGACAGAAAGTGAGAAAGATTGAGACAGACAGACATACAGACAGGCGGACAGACGGCTATGGCATTGGAGTCGACACAGACGCGTAGCTAATTACACTCTGTACTCCACAGTCCTTTAGTAGTATACTCGAAATACCCCATGCTCATAAACTGAAGCCAGATCCAGCCAGCGTTCAGGCAAGGCAAGGCGGGGCGAGCCAAGTTGGGGCAGGGCGAGCAGGCACAGAGGCAGGCAGGCAGGCAGGCAGGCATTCTGCCAAGCCCAGCATCAGCAGAGCGAGATTCTCGTGGTCGAAGGAAAGTCCCCCGAACTGTTCACTGAGAAATTTTATTTGCTCCTCATAAGAACTCATCTACTCCGTTGTACAGCCAGCGTCGAGGCTTTTATTGAGCAGCGAGAGGGAGCGAGTTAAAGGTCCAGGACGGGACTCGGACGGACGGAAGGACAGACGTACGGCGATCGATCGATTCTTCAGAATGGGGTGGGGGGCACCGAAACGAGCAAGTCTCGGAAAGCACACAGTGAGACTCGCTGTGACCGACCTCTCCTCTCCGTTCACTCTCTCCAATCCGACTGCTCGATCGATCTGACGGCCCCAGCCGTCAGCTCGTGAAGCGTATTGCGACGAATGCAAGCTGCCGGATCCCATCTCGATAGATACGCAGCGAGAGCGCACGCTGGGCTCTCTAAACCTGGCAGCAGCTAGCCTCTGTACTCCGTCTACGGCTGGCCAGCTCGTCCCCCCATCTCAACTCAAGGACTAAGGTAAGGCTGAGGCTGCTCCTGCTGCTGCAGCTGCTGTTGTACCATACTTTGGGCGAGATTGGTACTTAGGTACACACACATCTGACCGAGCTCTGCAGCTCTTCCACAGTGCTACATAAAGAGATGGCCGCACTGCTCACTGCTGCTCAATTCCATTTGCCAGATGTTGGCCGGGAGCTCGCTTATGCCCCGGCTCCTACAGCACGGACCGTTGAGTAGCATATCCATGGCCAGCCATATTAGCTGTAAATCGCTTGCGAGTTCGTGTAGTCTGCGATGGATGTGGGCCCCCGCAAGCACGCAATGAGCTGCTAAGGCGGTGAGATGTGAGACGGGAGTACGAGATCATATCAACTTTGCCGCCGATGAATGTAAAATATTCTAGAATACGGGGGAGAGATGCGGAGACGAACTGCACACGCAGTAATGGAGTTGAAGTGGCAAAAGCAGGCGGACAATCTTTCCACACGGAATTCGGCGCGAGTTGCAATTTACTGCGAGTGTCAGACTATCTCACTTTACGACTACACCTTTTCACGTCAGATGTTTCATTCGACCGACGACATTCGCTTCTCTCGTGCCTATACTGCATGTCCGTCTCCATGGACTCTACGTACTCTTCTCATGCTACGCTAGCAGCTCAGACTCGTCCGAAATTTTCCTCTCATCGTGAGATTTCAGATATACCCGTAGGTGCTTGCATAAGTCCTCCACCATCCGAACCTGCCCCTTTCAAATCGACGTCTATAAAGACATTTTGTCTGTTCCAGAAGTGATCTCTTTGCGCTGAGCTATGATAATATCAGATAGATAATATCAGATTGTGGAGTGTGAAATTTGCACACAAAAACACTGGATATTCATATTCGGGGACGGCTAGTTATCCTTCACTTGTATTGCCCTAATTTGCCCTCACCCTAGTATGTTCGATTCTCCGATTGGTCGAACACCCTACACCCTACCTGATTGCTACTCATAACCCTGCATCTACCAATCAGAGAAGAGCTAATTAACCCTAAGTGAGGGATAACTTGCCAATCCCTTATATTCTCATAATTTACCACAGCATCATCAGCTTCTGTATGACTACCCTCCCATCTACAAGCGTGCTGTCTACGTACATATTTCCATCGTCTGGAATGAAGCAAGACTACGCTTCATCAGCGGACCGATACTTTCGTGAAATTGTTACATTCATCGTCCGCTTGCACAAGCTTAACAGAGAAACCCCTCATCAAACTGATATCGACCAGAATTTCCCTTACATGTAACCAAGGACCTTCGAATCTTGCCCGATAACAATCTGCTACTGCAAGACTCACGATCCGATCAAGTTCGAACTCACACGAAAATTAGCTAGAAGAATGGTTCGTCAAATGAACCAATCCAATTGTATTTCGGTAGTTTCACTGATCCAATGTGGACCCGCAGTACAAAATTGTGATCCGAGGATGCCTGTTATGTTTCGAGAGGAACATCATCTCGCAGGATCTAGTTTCTACATTCTACTGTGCGCTATGTACAACACTGAGCTCTGAGCTGAATCCACTGCTCGTCCGTCGCGGCCGCACCAATTACGAGGAGGGGGGAGGTGTACAATTGAGGGAAACAGGATCCCAGAGAGCAGGGAGCAGGAACTTGCGGTTGTTGATCCCCTTGGCATTGTAACTATCGCCTGTGACCTCGTCGTGCAGAAGCTGGCCCGCATAGCCAGAGTAAGCCCCGGCTCCGAACATTCCTGTGCAAGCTGTGGCTGCTTCGAGAGGGGCAGCGCCATCACCCTGATAGAATCCGCTGTTGAAGGGGTTGGTGACAGTCCCGGCCATGATGGCCGCAATGTTGATGATCATGCCGTCCATTCCGATGTCGCCGTTCGGCGGCAAGAGGGGAGTGTCGGCGGGCCCGTACTCCGGCTTGGCGAAGGGCCAGGCACACTTGCCGGCGCACTGCGACTCCGGGTTTCCGACCCAGGCGTAGGGCAGCTGCTTGCCGCCGGTGGCGTTCAGCGCCGGCGTCGCGTAGTGCGAGCCGCACTGGCTGGTGCAGAAGTCGGCGACCACCACGTCGTGCGACGTGAAGATCATGTACAGCGCGTTGGCGTCGCTGGGGAAGGTGCTCAAGGAATTCACGACGATCGTCTCGATATCGGCCGACGAGAGCGTCTTGCCGTGACTGCACCCGAAGTCGCAAATCTCCGCCTCCAACGTCACGGCCTGCGGCACCGAGACGCCCTCCAAATTCTTGTAGCCGCCCGTCATCTTCCACCACGAGTTCACGCTCGGAGCTGGGCAATTCGCGTCCCCCGTCGACGAGAAGAAATCCCGCACCATCATCTTCTGCGGCTCGCTGAAATTCCCATACCAGATCACATACACGGGCACCTTGCCCACCCCGGCCAGGATGGGCCCGTTGTGGTATGTCAGAATCAACGGCGGCTCGGGCACCAGGAATTTGGCCCCCGACGGCACCCACGCGATGGGCTCGCCCTCCGTCACCTGGGCCAGCGATCGGGCCTCCGCCGCCACCTGATTCACGAGACACACTGCCAATGCCACCAGCGCCACTGCCTGGACCGCCGCGATCTTCCTACCCGAAATCACCGAGCGATCCATCTTCGCGTCTCCCCTTGTCCTGTTTCCTCTGCGTCGATCGATCGATCGACCCTCCGCGAGCAGCGCAATCCTACCACGGGACGTGAACCTTTCTGTTTCGAGCTCGAGTCCAGTATCGAGGAGAGATGGGATCTCAGCTCAGACCGACAGTCGAGACCTCGTCGTCCTCGTCCTGCTCCTGGCGAGGGAGAGATTGAGACGAGACAAGCCCAGGGTTGGAGAAAACTCAACCCGGATGGCGCAGGCGAGCAGCGCAGCGCAGGGCACGGCAGGGGCAGAGGAGCAGCAGCAGCAGCAGCAGGTTGCCGGTCCAGCCTGAGCTCGTCCGGGGCCGGGGGAAGGTGTGAGGGACAAGGCGGCAGCGAGGGCCGTATATATATGCAGCAAGGCGAAAGCGGAGAGAGGCTGGCGTGGTTCGGGTGGGTCGGGCCTAGTGGGCACCAGGCTGGTGATGGCAAGGCAGGTCATCAGAGGTGGTGGGGCGGGTAACCTCGAGTTAGGCTTGTACGAATACGAGGAAACGCGGGTGCATTAAAGAGGCACGAGCCTCGAGGCAGCATTTTGATACGAAGGCCGCTGCCATGCGCGGGAGGGCAGGGAGGAGGAAGGAAGGATGTGCATTGTGGGGAACCGAACGATCGACTGGGGCTGCGTTTGGCTGCCGCCCCTCTGGGAAGCCATGCCGCTACTCTGACGGCGAAACGAATTCGCTCACTCGGCCGGACTCAGACGAAGGGGGGCGAGTCCCTTCCGCTCGCTCTTGCCGAATCCCCGACTCTGGTCTCTTACACGATGATCAGAACTTCGGCGGTCTTGTAGTCCTCGCACATGTCGATGCGCATGCTCGAGCGACGAATCAGACGAGAGGGTTCGCAAGGCCGACGGTCACATGAGATCATCATGCTCGCGATCGCCTATCCCAATCTGCCGGGACGAACGAAGCTCGCTCGATCTCGATCGAGGTGTGGTGCGCGAGCGAGCGAGCGAGCCAGTCGACATGGCTTCCCATGTGGTTTGAGCATGCACATTCCTAGAAGGCTGCGAGTCTGTGGGGCTTACACGAGAACAACGAATGATTAAATTAGTTAATGAGAAGAATTATTGTGGAGTTTTCGAACGTGCAAACTCAGACAGAGGCCACAGTGCAAGCCAAGCTCAGCTCAGTTTACCACAGGAGTGCAGTGCAGTGCACTGCAATGCAATGCAGCTGCTGCGTATCATCCACATTTAACACGAGCATGATGATCATCTGCTCTCGTCCATGGGAGGGATCCACGTTCCTCACTTCCCGTGGTCACACATCGTGAATCGAGTCAGTCAGCCAGTCGTGCCTTGGAGCACAACCTCGAGCTTTTGCACACTCGCTGTAACTCGCAACAATTCATCTTGACGCAGGGGAACCGTTTTATCATCGGTAATGTCACTTTTCAAAGAAATAGCGATTTTTTTAGCACGCATAGACGATGTATGAAGCGAGTGAAGGCCGAGAACCTGAGAACGAGGCTCTGAATTCAGAACTCTGCTGAGTAAGCAAAGCTCCGGGCTCGACTGAGATCATTCACCGCGCAGTTATAATATGATCAATGAGTACTGGAGTCACTGGACTGGACTGGACTGTGTGGGCAGTTCGTATGCAGGCTCGACTGCTCATCATGACATGCAGGCGAAATGGGATAAGACAAGAATGTTACACAGCAAGACCACCAACCGAGCTGCAGCAGCAGCAGCCTTTAGGTAGATGAACCTATTAATCATACCATACATTTGGCGCAATCCCCCAAGATAGCTCGAGCTCCGCGGGAGAGTCTCGCAGCAGAGAGTGTGTGAGTGTTTCGCAAATGCCAGCGAACGAACGACTCCCTCGGTGCACGAGATGGCGTGCAACCGACCGTGGACATGGACAGATCGTCCCGGCTCGGCTCGCCCTGCGCAGACGATACGAGGAAATTCAGGAAACAGTCTTATCTTTTGTATGAATACTCTGCTGATGCTTTTCTCCTTGTGTAGGAGAGTCCTTCGCGTACTTACCGTAGAGCTCAGAGTCCAGAGTGAGCCGCACTGCCATGAGAGGGCATGGTATGGGGCTCATGACAATCACGACGTATTGTGCAATCCGACACGCCTGCTCCCTTCACTAGCTACGGATACCATGCACGGCTAGCAGTGACAGCAACTAGCGGAGCATTTCGTCTCCGGTTAAAAAATTCGAGTGAGGGGTTTCAAAACATTATTGAGTTTCAAACTGAGGGTTTTTATAGCGCTACATGTATCTCTTACTATTTTGCTTTACTCCCTTAGAGTCACCCTTTAAGGCAAAACATCACTGTTATACAACAAAGCATTGAAAGTTCTACTAGGCCGTCTCAGTATAGTCTGGCAGGAGTTTACTCTGGAACATAATTTTATTGTGAAGACCACCTGAAAATTCATCGTATTTCATCCGCCTATGGTCACCCTCCCCACCGTTCGATGGAAAGACGCTGAGACTTCATGGCAATAGCAATTTTCCCTACAGATACTGGAGTTTTTTGAAACTAAATTTGCTGCAATACATCCTTCTCTTTGCCAATCCGAGTAGCAGGCTTTAAACTTGGTGATGCTTTAGCGTTGTTATATTTCTGTCTTTACAAACCTATGGCAATCATCTATTCGGGTTCTTGTTCTTCGTCAGTAATAAAAAAAATGAGTTCCTATCTGAAATATCCAACAATCATGCCGTCCTAAGGACAGGATGAGTTTCTTAGCAGTATCTTCTGGTGCAATACATTAGTTTCTAGTGCAAACCCAAGTTACGGACACCCCCCGACAAATTTGTAAATGGTATAACCAATGGTACAAATATTTATTAAATAGGTAGACGTCTATATCCTTGGTGCTGTAAACAGAGTACTGGTTATGGTCGAGTGAATAAAAAATTTCAAGCAAATAATTGACTTGATTTTTTAATCTAAATGCCCTTGTATGTCCATAAAAGGCATCTACGGACATGAAAATCTTCTACTTGGACTCAGCTCTTGAATGTACACCTTCGGATGGAAAAAATGACAAACTAAAATAATGCACAAGATATTAAAAACTGAAATCTATGTCACTACGAGCCAAATCAAACAAAAGAAAAATGCCGAAATTAAGGGGATCGAAAGCAACTCTAAAGGCACCGGCAAGCAAGTAGGAGGAGGGTGCCGAAAGTGCACATAGCACCCACGGTGTAAATGGCACGCCTAAAACGCCGAAGGCTTCATGTGGCCACGTCTGATATATTACATCTTACATCTCAGTTACACATCTAAATGAGACAAGTCGAGCAGTAACTTACGGTTACTACATGGGCCCTGGTAACACGACTCTGGCAGTCGAGCCGCGACGAACTTCTCTCTAACCATATTCATGCGTTCGGTATTCAAGAGATGCAGTACACAAAGTTGTTCTTCGAGACAGGCTTTGAGACCTGATTGGGTCGGGGCCAATTTCGTCTCATCTACCTTGCATCCTGTTGTGATCATGAAACAATCCACGAAAAACTAAATGCCAACATAGATCTGCGCTACGATCTGACGATGTACAAGAATTATTCACATGTCGTCCTGTATTTCTGTACAGAACTTCTGCGGGATCGGTGAAGGGCTGCAAGTTTGACAAGACAACGACTGACGTAGTCATCCCTTATCCACTTCTGCACATTGTACCGACGAGCACTCTCTTATGCTTCACGAAAGAGCGTCACCTTTACCACCTTTTCTTGATGGGGGGCCTTCAGCGGCATCGTCGACTGGGTCAGTATGACAACACTTTTACTCCTGACCGGGTTGACTTGATTGCATGGTGAGGTCGCCAAAGGTTGACCATGGTTTGACATATTCGCAGGGATGCCCAAACCAAGATGCTTATCATTATAAATAAATCATGAAAGGGGTATTCTCTTTCTCTTTCTTAGTTGTCTAGGCGGAAAGTACTCATTACTTGCTTTACGGTATAGATGTATATTCGATTAAAATAACAAAAGATGTAACACCTTTTTGAAGAGGCAAATTCATCCACATGGAAATCAGTAAATGCCAGCAATTACAAAGCTCTCGGCACATGATAGCGCTGTTCACTGCCTTGGCTGAGTTGTGTGTTAAGGACTCGAGCCATGCACAATAATTTTTGCGATCAATCAAGGCAGCGAGAGAAGAAGACACATGAATAAAGCATACCTGACGAGCCCCGATATGAAGTGCAGCGTGGTGTCGGCACGGCACGCACGCCCGCCTTGGTCTCCACACCAGATCTTCAAGAGTATGTCGACTTGTCTGTCTTTCTGTCTCGTGCTCTTTCCACTTACTTCGTCGGGGTTGAGGCAAGTTGAGGTTGATGTTCACGAGTCCAGAAATCGACCCACGAAATGTGAGTACGGAGGCAGGGCTGGCTGTTGCTGCTGCTGCTGCTGCGTACGCGTAGAAATCGATGAACCTCGATCGTTTGGAAACGTAGGACTTACGTGGTCGTATGCACGCTACAGTTGTACCATTTTATGAGCTGCATAGTGGCTCTTGTCTGCTGATGAAAGTTGTATGACGAGGTTTTTACTCCCATCCCAACCACCTCAACAAACTGTACCACAATCGCCATAGACAAAAATGCAAATATCTAGGCGTGACTCACATTCCCTCTTTTGATCCTCACACCACTAAATACCAACCCATGTCGTTGTCAGCAAAGGTCCATGGCCTCCATAATCCTCGGCGATCAAGCTCTCTCCCGAGAGCAGTTTCCCTTGAAGTCAATGCACCGCGAGAGATTTGCAAGCAGCTGACTCTGGCCAGTGAACACCGTGTGTGCACAATAAGCTTCGAGGACTAGTATCGAAGAACGTACCCAGGGTTCACGGCCTGGGCCTGGGATGGCATGTTTCCATGATCGTGGACGTACTTCGCCCAATTATTCTACGTGGCCCAAGGTGACACCTTTATGAGATTTCGAAGAGAGTGTTGGATGGTGAGAGCCCGTAGTAAGTTTGTAAGGCGTGCATTACGTTTTCTCACCTATAACGATAAATTCACTTTGCCCGATTAGGCAATTGACAAATCTCTTCACCTTGGAAGTTGAAGTTCTACTGGTGACCAGATTCAACACCTCGGATAGGTTTTTAGAGAGATATTATTGATGAAATTAAGCATAAAAAATGGGAGATTATAACTTATGGGTCAGGTTTTCTTTCCGATCTTTTCGTTTATCTGACTTCCTGTTATGGCAACCTAGTTGGAAGAATATATGAAAGATTCCAAAATTATGAGATCTAACCGATATCATTTCTCAAGGAACCTAAAATGTCATTGATTTATAAATTGCAGGTGGAATAAGATACATGT